CTCATTCGTGGGATTGCTTTCTGCTCCAGACACGGGATGAATAAGTGATAGGTAGGTAGGAAGGAAGGAAGGAAGGTAGGTAGGTAGGTTGATTGCTGGTAGATAGATAGATAGGTGATAGATGATAGATAGATGATAGGTAGATGATAGATAGATAGATATAGATAGATAGATAGATAGATAGATAGATAGATAGATAGATAGATGATAGATAGATAGATAGATAGATAGATAGATAGATAGATAGATATAGATAGATATAGATAGATAGATAGATAGATGATAGATAGATAGATAGATAGATAGATGATAGATGATAGATAGATGATAGATACATAGATGATAGATAGATAGATAGATAGATAGATGATAGAGATGACAGGTAGGTAGATAGATAGATGATAGATAGATAGATAGATAGATAGATAGATAGATTAGATTAGATAGATAGATGATAGATAGATAGATAGATGATAGATAGATGATAGATAGATAGAGATGATAGATATAGATAGATAGATAGATGATAGATAGATGATAGATAGATGATAGATGATAGATAGATAGATAGAGATAGATAGATAGATAGATAGATAGATAGATGATAGATAGATAGATAGATAGATAGATAGATAGATAGATAGATGATAGATAGATAGAGATGATAGATATAGATAGATAGATGATAGATAGATGATAGATGATAGATGATAGATAGATAGATAGATGATAGATAGATAGATAGATAGATAGATAGATAGATAGATGATAGATAGATAGATGGTAGATAGAGAGATAGACAGATGATAGATGACAGATAGATAGCAGCACAGATATGTCTAGATTGTGGAGTGACCAGGAAAAGCTCTCTTTTCCAGCATCTACATACCCTAAAGCTGCTACTGCTGCTTCTGCTCTAGTGTCAAAGGGAAGCAAATGCGAATTTGATCAATGGGCTGCTGATCTGTCCCCACACGGCAACTTGACTCCAAGTAGTCCATTTACTGCTTCTGATTACAGCACGGATAAAAGCATGTCTGAAGGAAGGGCAGATGTTTCCTTGTTAACAAGGGCAGCATCAATATGGTGTGCATTGCTTTGTGAGGCAGGCGCTGATGTGTCTGTATGATCGCTCATCTCGAAGCAAATGGGAGTTACTCTTGCATACTGAGAGGATAATACAGCCCTCACATCTGAAGCTTTCTATCAGACCTGACATTAAAGGTAATGTGTTGAAAGGGCTTCTGAAAATATTTGCCAGTGCAGCTCTGCATGTGCGTGTAAATATGCAGTTTCGTGCTCAAAGGGCTATTTGTCAGGCTGTTTGCTGCGGCTTTTCTGCGGGGAAAAAGGGGAAGGAGGGAGGGCACAAATGCAAATAGTGGTGCCCCCACCCCACCCTGCTCTATTTTCTCCCAGCAGTTCTTTGGAAAAGGTCATTCGGAGCCAACATAAATCTCAGGGCTTCAAATGTAAATCTTTTTCCCTCAGCGGAACGTTCGTTATCGTTTCCCCGAGATCAATTCTCTGAGAAACAAAAACGGAAAATAATAGTTATTTCAAATAATGGCCCTAACTGAGAATGGGAAGGTGGAAACAACTCCTAAGCGGATAGGGCTAACACCTCCCTCCCAACCCAAACTAAGAATAGACATATAATAGCCATAAAGGTGAAGGTAAAGGGACCCCTGACCATTAGGTCCAGTCATGGCCGACTCTGGGGTTGCGGCGCTCATCTCACTTTATTGGCCGAGGGAGCTGGCGTACAGCTTCCAGGTCATGTGGCCAGCATGACTAAGCCACTTCTGGCGAACCAGAGCAGTGCACGGAAACACCGTTTACCTTCCCGCCGGAGCAGTACCTATTTATCTACTTGCACTTTGATGTGCTTTTGAACTGCTAGGTTGGCAGGAGCAACGGGAGCTTACCCCGTCGTGGGGATTTGAACCACCAACCTTCTGATCGGCAAGTCCTAGGCTCTGTGGTTTAACCCACAGCACCACCTGCATCCCATAATAGCCATAGTCACTCCCAATAAGGGAGTGGGTGGGTTCAACCAAGACGTTGGGCACATGGCACAAACCACTTCTTGGGTGCAAGCAGCCTAATCTCAAACAGTATTTTTTGGGGGGTGGGGAGAGATCTAAATGTGAGTTTGCCCTAAGAACAGGCAATTGGTAGCCAAGGGCTTGGTATGATTCCTAGTGCACCACTGGTTCCAAAAACAACCCCTTATTATATTCTCTAGGCTAACTTTTGCCAACCTGGTGCATTCCAGATGTTTGGGACACCACTTCACTATGGTTATGGTGGAAACGGTAGTCCAGTATATCTGGTGGACACCAGGTTGGCAAGGCTTGTCCTTGATACTTGGCCTGAGACCTGGTCTGTAGATTCAGCAGGAGCTGATAGAGGCCCTGAGGTGGTAGAACCTGTAGCATCCTAGAATCATAGAGTTGGAAGAGCCCATGTCGGTCCTTTATGTGCAACCTTCTGCAATGCAGGAATCTTTTGACCAGCGAGGGGCTCCAACCCACAATGCTGAGAGTTTCATGCTCTACCAAGGGTCAGACTAGAGGTGAGGGTGCCATTTTAAAGCCACCCCACCCCACAAAAAAGGCAGCCTGCAAGTTAAAAAAAGGGGGGGGGCAGATCCGACACTTGAAGAACAATTTTTTCTCTTAAACTCCTCGTTACTATACTATTGTTCTACTTGCAGGCAAGCAATACACACACACACAGAGGAAGCATTTAAAAATGGAATCCCCACCCCAACCCGTAGTCTTAACTAGTACATTCCATTCTTTCCCCCACCTCAAGGAATTCTACCACCTCCTTCCCATCTGTTCAACAGTTTATTTATTCCATTTTCACAACTTTCCCCTAACAGTTAAGTTCCACGTTATATTCTTCTGGGACTGTAATGGAAAACAGTGCAAGTTTTAAACTGCCTCCCCCCCCCCCCCAGTTATTACAGTCATACCTCGGGTTACAGCTGCTTCAGGTTGCATTTTTTCGGGTTGCGGACCGCCGAAACCCGGAAGTACTGGAACAGGTTACTTTTGAGTTTCGGCGGTCACGCATGCGCAGAAGCCCTAAATTGCGCCTTGCACATGCGCAGAAGTGCCGAATCGCAACCCACACATGTGCAGACACGCGTTGCGAATTCTTCTGGTTGTGAAAGTGCATCCCGCACGGATCATGTTTGCAACCTGAGCATCCACTGTATTATTATTATTTGAAATTTTAATTGTATTATTACTGATGTGTTTGCCATCCTGAGCTCCTTGGAAGAAGGTGAGGCAAATAAATCCAACAAAAAATAATAAATAAGCGTGGGAGCGGCCACACTCACTCTTGGCCACACCCATCAGAGTCACGCAGCCCATGGAGTATCGGCCAAGGGTGGCCTTGGGTCAAGAAAGTTTAGCCACTGCTGTTCTGCAGGCTGATCTGAATCTCTGCCTAGAGCCTGTGCATGTACAGCCTTATGTGTAGAATTAATGCCCTCCCGCATTGCAATGGCTTCCTCCCATATTATAACCACAGGTTTGATTGATTTGCCCTTCCTACCTGCAACAATTTGCAAGAACCCTCAAATGACTTCTGAAGCTCACAGGTCTCAGCCACGTATGTGTAATACACAAAGTTGCTCTTTAAAAGTTACCCTATTGTTAGCCAGGGAAATAAAAGTGCTGGACCTTAATCTATTGTTGGCTGAGCACCTTCAAGGTCTTCTTTCTCCTTTGTTCTGGATAATGAAACCAGTGGCCTTCTTTTGTGACATTTGTTCAGCAAAATCAAACTTCTGTAGGGCATGATTCATATACCTACTTTGTTTTCTCTGAATCTCACCTCCCCCCACCCTAAGATCAAGGATAACCAAACTTCCAACAATTGCAGGGAGAGCCATAGCAGAGGATATGCTTTGCATGCCAAAAATCCCAGGTTCAACCCATGGCTCCTCCAGGTAGGACTGGAAAAGACTCCAGATGACAGCCACTGCCAGTCAGTGTAGATGTGGGGCACCTGTTGCCCTCCAGATGTGTCATGGATTGGTTGGACACAGAGGAATGGTGGAAGGAACCAGCTGGAGAGCTGCCAAGGGAAGAAGGCTCAGAGCCAGGAAGGACGACAATGAGTGGTCAGAGGATGCAGCGGGAGAAGACTGGGAGGAGGCAAAGCAGGGAGTTGAAGAGGTAACAGGGCTTCGTGAGCAGGGAGATTCTGTGTCAGAGGGAAGTCCAGAATCAGGAGAGGAGGGAGGCTAAGAGGCAGAGATAAGTCAGGCTGGTGAAGAAGCCAGGGTGTCCCCCTCCTGCTGCAACAAGCTCCCCTCCGTGCTGGTCTCCCAGAACCAGGAGAGGCATGAAGCGGGAGGAGCAAAGGCTGAGTCTCAGATTGCTTGGGGAAAACCCTAGAGAAGAGGAGACTTCGGCAGCTGTTGGAAGGCAGGGACTTTTAGGCGCCACCCAGTGAACCAGTTCTGGCACAAGAGGCTTAATGACAGCCAGGTTTCCATCCATATTTTAGATGGCTAGTTCCATTGGCACTCAGCTTGCTTCTGAATTCCAGGCCCCATCTGTACTAAGCATTTAAATCAGTGCCGTGCCACTTTAAACAGTCATGGCTTTCCCCACAAATCCTTGGGAACTGTAGTTTGTTAAGGGTGCTTAACAAAGGAGGCTCTTAGTCATCTTGCAGAGTGACAGCTCCCAGAACGGCTTAACAACCAATCGGCTCCTGGAACTGTCACTCTGAGAGGGGAGCAGGGGTTTCTTAACAACTCTCAGTTCCCTCAGCAAACTACAAATCCCAGGGTCCTTTTGGGAAGCCCTGGCTGTTTGAAGTGGTATGGTGCTGCTTCAAATGTATAGTGCAGATGGGGGGGGAGCACATTATCTCAGCAGTATCATTTTTGAAAGAACGAAAACCTCCTGTCAGGGAAAGTTCTGAGCAGACGGGTTCTCACTTTCCGTCTCTCTCGTTTGTCCTTATAGGCAATAAGTTCTCTCCCGCATGTGCTGGGGCACTGCTATCTTGCGTCTGGGTTTACGCCCTCATCTTTGCAGTGGCCCCTCTGGCCAACTGGGGCAGCTATGGGCCAGAGCCCTATGGGACAGCTTGCTGCATCAAGTGGAAAGTGTCCACCAGAGAAACGAAGTTCTACATCGGGGCCCTCTTTGTCTTCTGCTACATCATCCCTTGCCTCCTGATCCTCATCTCTTACTCCCTCATCCTTTGGACTGTGAAAGTGTCCCGAAGAGCCGTCAGGCAGCATATGTCCCCGCGGACCAAAGCCAACAGCGTCCACACTCTGATCGTTAAGGTAAGAGAACTAGATTGGGAACAGAGGCATAGGTGGGCGCATTATTGCATGTGTAAGTGTAACCTTCAGGTTTTTTCCTGACGTCTTAAAACCCCCTTGTGCTGGGGTCGCCAGTGTGACGCCAGCCAGCACCTCCTGCAGTGCCTCTGAATGGTCTCAGTAAATACCATGTCGAAAATCCACAGGGCATGAGAAACTGCTTTCTCTTTCCAATCAGTGCCTGTTTCTTTCTCTCTCTCTCTTTTTTTGAAATAATTTTTATTTGATTTTACAAATACAAAGTTATAAAAATCCAAACATATATCCATATACAGAGATTACTCCGAATCTCACGACTTCCCCTCACCCCCTCCATGGGGTCCCATTTTGAACATTTGCAACTGCATATTCTTCCATATGCTAACTTTTATATCAATCCATACGGTCCATGGTATTTGTTACACTGCAAGTGGAATCAAAATCCTGCCAACGTTTCCATCTGCTTACAGTGGTCTCCTAAATAACTTGCAAGTTTTTCCCATTCTTTTTAAAAGTTTTTGACCTCTTGGTTCCTGAGTTTTCCAGCCAGTTTTGCCAAGCTGATGGACTATGCCGAAATGGCAGCCAGTGCCTGTTTCATACCCATCAACAACTTGAGTGCCAAAACCAGGACGCACATCTTCCCATCTGAGCTCCTGCATGAGTCATGTGACCTGCGCAAGATGTGCTTTTTCAGGGCCGTGCTCACAAAAATGCACATTTTGGGGAGCTCCGTGAGATTGTGGCCCTGAAAAAACACTTTTTTTCCAGGTGAAATTGCACAAGATTTTGGCACCCAAAATGGCCGCCGTGCTCTCGTGTGAGAAAACGGAATGTCCCCCTTTTTTTGTGGGACACTTGTGGGTTATGCTGTTTGTGCTGGCTCAGGCTACATTCACACCAAACATTTTAAAACACCGGCTTCTCCCAAGGAATTCTGGGAGCTGCAGTTTGTTGAGGGTGCTGAGAGTTGCTAGGAGAACCCTGTTCTCCGCAGAGAAATGCAATCCCCAGAGCGGTTTAACAATCAAGAATTGTAGCATTTAGTTGGAGTCCACCCTGTGGCTTTCCAGATCTTGTTGGTCAGCCCCTGACCATGGACTGAGCTGGCTGGGGCTGATGGGAATTGAAGTCCAACACTTGGAGGTGCTCTAGGTTCACCATCCCTGGCCTAGAGTGCATAAACTTCCATATGGGCACATAATGTTTGATGGCAGCCATTTGCTTGCTTCTAAATAGTGCACCTGATTTCCATGGCATCCTCACCACAAGTAGAAATGCAGCCTTTGGTCCTTACTTGTGCCGACAGTTTGTTCTTTCAGAACCCCTTGGGGACAAAGTATAACGAATCTCCAGCACAGAGTATTATTACTTTTTTCAAAAAAAAAGTTTCGCCCACACATATTTCCTGTATGCCATATGGTGGCGGGTGGGGGAGCAGGGAAGTGATACATGAGCAAAAGTAAAATATAACCGGGCTCTTCTATCACACCGGGATGATTTGCTCACTCATGTTGCACGGCTGTCTGTCACGACTTGACAACTTAATTTAACTGTGCATACACCTTACCCTCCTGATTTGCAAGCGTTTTGTCATCGGTAGATTAAGGGCTGCTTATCTGAAAAAGAAGAGGAGCTCCAGGGCTTGTTTATAATCCAGTCGAGTGCACTAACCAATTCACAGGTTCAGTTAATTAACTCATTAATTACAGACTAATGCAATTAATATACACATGCACAGAATATTATTTGCAGCCGCAATGTATAGCTTCTCATCAGAGGTGAGAGAGGTCGGTTTGCTGGCTTGCTTTTCTTTTTTTTGAAGGCAGCTGGTGCTATTTGATGGTATCCTGCTTCTAAGGTGAGATAATTAAAAAGCAAACTAGTTTATCATACACGAGGAAGGGTCGTAGCTCAGAGTTGGAGCGTCTGCTATGCATGCAGAAATTCAATCCCTGGCTTCTCCAGGCAGGGCTGGGAATGTCCCCTGCCTAAAACCCTGGAGAGACCCTGCCAGTCAGTGTAGACAAGTACTGAGCTCCATGGATCAATGGCCTGACTCAGTAAAGGGCAACTTCCTATGTTCCTATTGGATTCACTGGGTTGCTGGGTTCAAGGAGTTGGTTTTCAAAATTATGTCCTTTCCTCTGGAAAGATCATGCTCATGGCTTGCCCACATTGGATGAAGGCGACACTTAAAAAAGGAGAAACCCTGACTCCCCTCCTTCATCGTGCTGATACTTGCATAATTCCCTTCCATGGGAGCCAGTGTGGTGTAGTGGTTAAGAGCGGTAGTCTCATAATCTGGGGAACCGGGTTCGCGTCTCCGCTCCTCCACATGCAGCTGCTGGGTGACCTTGGGCCAGTCACACTTCTCTGAAGTCTCTCAGCCCCACTCACCTCACAGAGTGTTTGTTGTGGGGGAGGAAGGGAAAGGAGATTGTTAGCTGCTTTGAGACTCCTTCGGGTAGTGATAAAGCGAGATATCAAATCCAAACTCTTCTTATCTTCTTCATGATACGGACTGCAGCAGATTAATCTCGCACCAGCACCTCCCTGGGCATATTCCCTACCTAAAAACTGGATTAATCTGCATCCTTTCCCCGGGGGAAATGGGGGGGATGCAGTTCTGTGAGGAAGTTTAACAAAGAGCTCTCAGCAATCTCATCAAACCACAGTTCCTTGAATTCTTCGCGGAAGCTGAGAAAATCCCATTCCTTTAAAACTAAGTGCTCATCCGCACATGAGTTTAACATGGATTCGAAGCTGCTTGTAGCTCAAGGCTTGTTGTTTTTGCTTCTACATTATGTCCTCATCTAAGCAGAAGTCTGCACTCCCTCCTCTCTGCTTAAATTTTAATTTTCCCAATCTGTAGATAAGCCTCTGTCTGTCTGGACATTATTTGCCCTCGCAATGTGTTCCTTGGTGGGCTGCTCACTCTATATTTTGCAGAGCTGGGTGAAGTACACATTTTTGTTTTAAATGGTTTTGTGTCTGATATAAGTTTGGAATGCAGTTCTCTGTGTGTGTGTTGTGAGCTGCAGAACTTTGTACTGATTCATCGCAATATTTGCAGAACTTATGGTAACTCCTTACCAATATGCCATGACGCTCCACATGCAGAGACAGATTAATACATCTGCTGCAAATGGTGTATGAGCATACCGGAGTCAAATTCGACAGTGGAAGAGCCATGGAGTCTTGGCATGGGGGAAAGTGCCTGCAGGCTGTTCTACCATTTTTAAATTGGTTGTTGTTATGTACTGAAGTTCTCACCCTGGGCCAGCAGGGGGATACTGTAGAGAGTTTTCACTCAGGTCCACATATGCAAATAAGGGATTGAAAGTGATGTTCAGTGATTGGTTAGTTACAGAAAGTGGTTACTGTTGCGTTGTAGTGGAGCTCTATATAAGCAGGCTGGCTGAACCCTTCAGTTCAGTTCTGTTCTGGCCTGTGAATAAACAAGAGCTGTTTGAAGAATCACTGTGTCGTCTGATATGTTCACCCACAACTTAACAGTTGTCCTCTCTCTCTTCCAGCTTAGTGTTTCTGTGTGCATTGGATTTCTTGCTGCGTGGACCCCCTACGCTATTGTTGCCATGTGGTCAGCGTTTGGCGACGCCAGCCAGGTGCCCGTCTTGGCCTTTGCCCTCTCTGCTGTGTTTGCCAAGTCTTCGGCAACCTACAACCCTCTGGTTTATCTGTTCTTCAAGCCCAACTTCCAGAAGTTCCTTTCCAAGGACCTCTCCCTGTTGCAAGCTGTCTGCGCCGTCTTCTGCTGCAGCCGGCCAAGGGTTATCACCCTCCAGTCCTTCCACACCCGAGATGGCCGGGCTTCCATGAAGTTCTCCACCGCTTTTACCGACCACCGTGGATCCTGCAGGAACTGCACGGACACTTTTGAATGTTTCAGTAACTATCCCCGGTGCTACAGGCTCTCTCCGAAGTCGGACACGACCGCCAAGGCCAAGCCGCTGGCGATCCTGGCAGACGGAACGACTTGCCGGCCAAGTCTGAAGAGAACCGTGCAGGTCATGGTGCTCGTGACGAGGAAGAAGACCGGGATGGGGACTAGGAGTCTGGCTGGGGATGTTCTGCCTTCAAATATTGTCAGAGATCTTATGTGAGCGAGGGTTCGAAGCCCCCTTTCTGCCTAGACCAATCAGGAATGTTTGGTTGCCATTTCAAAATCCATTTTCTTCTCCATATGTATAGTTGTTTCCAAAGTGTGCTTTGCAGGCTAGGAGATACTGCAAATCTTACACCAGCATTCCTCGCCCCTCTCAGAATTCCCCTCCATTGTTTCTTTAAACAGCTGCAATTTTGTGCGAACAATTTTGCACCTGTTTCCCGCCCCCCCCAAAAAAGATCAATAATGCAGAGCCAAAAAAAATAAAAATCCTGCCTCTTTATAGGTTCCATTTGGCATTTGAGATGTCACAGTGCCACTACAGGCAACTCCCCACTTGCGCAAGATGTCCTTGTGCATAACTGCGCATGCGCACAACATCTCTTTGGACTCTGGGGAGGGTATCCTCATTAGGCAGAGGCACAATGGGGCTTTTGTTGAGGCTGCTCAGCTGACAAGCAGCAGTTCAGCTGACCTCACACATCAGCTGTTAGGCGGGGAGGCTGAGCATCCTCAACAAAGCCCCACTGTCCCTCTGGCTCCTGTGGAGACCCTCCCTGGACAACACACATTTCACTTATGCTCATGGGGCCCCGGAACATAACCCCTGCATAAGTGGGGAGTCGCCTGTATTGATGTGAGGCATAAATTTGAGTTTTGGTTCCACACCTGTGCAGTCTGCAGCATGCTAACGTTCACTTGCACAACTAACGTTCAGGTCAATCCAAGTGGTTGCTATTGGAGGCAGGTACAATTAACCGCTCACATAATTGGACTGTAAAAGATTAATCCAATCGAGCTGCGTCAGCTGCAGCTCAAATGCAGAGGATCAGATCATCAGAGGTGTGCAAGGCCATGTGGATTGGTTGAACATCCGTTCAGCCAACCCATGCCTTCGGAACGGCAGGCAGGTGCAACGGCTCGTACAGTCATGTTGTTCATGTCTACAGTGGTGTCACCGTTAGGTTCTCCTCTGCCCCACAGTTCTCCTTTTAAAAGTTCATCCTGATCCAGCTGCAGGTGCAGACACAGCCCGTACTCATCTAATTCCCTACAGCAGGGAACCTGAGGCCCTTCAGATGTTTTGGACTACAACTCCCATCATCCCCTGCCGGCACAGGGGCTGATGGGAGTTGTAGTCCAAAACATTTGAAGGGCCTCTAGTTGACGAAGACTGTCCTGCAACATCTTTCTCTCCCTCTCCCTCCGTTGTTACGCACACTTTCATGGTTAATTTTTTAAAAAACAAAAAACTGAAGGAACACAACTCTCTCTAAAGGCATTAGGGTGGGAAGCTAAGAAATCTGAGGTGCTATTCCAACCAACTTCTCACCCTGACTTCTGTGGTCTCCATTCAGTTGTGGAAACACACAGCAAAGGTGCTTCGTTTCCCTCTCTTGCATCTGAGGGGGAATGACGATATCCCTCTACCTCATAGGAGAGGCTTGTTTAGTAGATGAAGCAACCTCATGTTTACAGTGCTTTGTACACGACAGCATTCAGTATTGCTTCATCTGATTTTCCGAGGCCATCAATACTGTAGAACGCAACAACCACTTGTGGCCCAGAAATAAAGGCTCGTTCTACATGGAAGAATTATGACCAATGGATATTAGTCCACGCCCAAACAAGGCATAGAAGATACTGGACTCCAAGGACACAGCATCCTTTCTGGCCGGACTGCAGTCTGGGTTTCACGACGAGCTCGCCCAGCGTTTTTGCCGCCGTTTTAACAATAAAAGAAGGCAGGACATTCCCAACAACTGAGGGGCCAGAGGTGAGAAAAATCGTTTTCAATGACAAGGCCGTTTGCACACCCCCCCCTCAGTGAGCCAATGAGAGCAATCCCGTCAATTTCAGCCTGGCACAAATGAAGAAAGCTAACCTCAAAGGAAAACCACCACAGCTATCAAACTAGTTAGGACTCTTTTGGAAGCGGTTGTTGTGGCAAGAGACAAAGGCAAGAGACTGCTAACAACCTAGAATGTTCTTTCTGGCTAGCGCACGGGGATGCCCTGCTTCTCAGGCTCCATCTGGTGAAAAGGTACAGTTGGGCCAACAGAGATACGGTATTGAGAATCAGATTCTTTTTTACAAATAAATAAATAAATGCAGAGCAGCTCTTTCAAAAACAACATTATGCTTTAAATAAGAGGGTGCACACAAGAAGAGCTGCAAACCTCAACACTTCCCTTCCTTTGACAGGGGAAAAAATGGGCTGCGTGGTCAGCAGAGTTGTTCCACATCTGCAGTGTGAATTAGCACCAACCCATGAAAATTAGCACAGCAATTCTGTCCATGGAAATAGAAAGGCATTCAGGCAATTTCACAGGAAGCAGCAGCTTTAAGCCAATTCAGGCTATTTATCTGTTTGGCCACCCAAACTGGCCGCAGGTCTCTGAAGCAGAGGTTGAGGAGCCCTCGAGGTATTGATGGACTACAACTCCCATAATCCTCAGACTCTGGAGAAGCTGGCTGGGCTGATGGGAGTTGAATTGCGGCAGCATTTGGAGGACCACAGGTTCCCCATCCCAACCCTTGCGCTAGTGTTTCCAGGTCTTTCCTTCACCTGCTACCAGATCCTTTGAAATGGAGGTGCCAGGGAGTCAACTTAGGCCCTTCTGCATGCAAACCATGCATTCTGCTGTGGCCCCTATGATTTGGTATTGACCTCTGAGTTGACAGTGGGAAAGGTCAGAGTACATCTGGGACAAGGCGATGTTTTCAACCCAGCTCAAGAGCGGTCCATGGACCCAAGCTACTGCCCCAAACCCAGTGCCCATGATCCTTCCCCATAACATTATTGCAAACTCAAAATTGGTGGTTTTTGTGTTCCCCCCCTTTTGCTACTCCGCCCCCAATTACCATGGTTGTAATAAGCCTCCTCTGCAGTTTTTGCACATCTCATTTCATCCTCGCCATCTCAAGATTGCTTTGCAGTCAGCAATCCATCACATGTCCTGACATCTTTGCCGCAAGGTGGGTGGGCTTATTATCCTTCCCCATTTTGGGAAGGTGGGCGAGCAGAGTTTGCACAGGGAGATCCAGCAGTTTTCTCAGCATCGCTGCAATGAAGTCTGGGCCAGAGATGGGGGGGAAGGAAGCCAGAGCCTTCCAGGGGTCATTAGCCTGGGCTCGCCTCCCTGCCTCCCACCAGCACCAGAACCAGCACCCCGATGGCGAATGAGATGCTTGTTGCCACTGTGTGTCCTATCAATTGTCTGGTATCATTAACAGCTGTGCTGCTCCACACGTGCAGCTTATCTGAGAGCCCTGGAGGGAGAATAAGGCACTTAACGAAAGAAGCTGGGAAACAGTTTTGCTCCGTAGTGAGCCATAAGAGCAGAGTCTCTCCCACAGCCTAGGCGGCTGCCATACCACTTTACTCTATATTCCTTGCACAGGGTAGGATAAATTACCTGTCTTTCTGTATTCTATAATCTGATTCTCATCTCCTTCTGCTGGATTCCTTCTCTGGAGATACAGTCATTGCTATTCTCCAAGTGAACTCCTGTAGAAGAAGAAGGAGGAATGTTGGAACTGTACCTTTTTTCGTGTCGACCACCAAACAAGAATTTGGGAGGCAGGCTGTCGGGGAGATACCTAGGCGATAAGCCCACAGTTTTGTCTCTCCAAGAGTCCTCTCTATTCCAGACAGGCTGGAGGAAAGACCTTGCTAATCGACCACTTCTACGAAGCTTGGAAAAACAAAGGAGAAACCAGGGCACCAGAGACTATGCAACACGCAAAAAGATTTGTGTCCAGACACCGGCAGAGAAGCCAGGCGGGCTGCCAACTTGGGATGTCACAGCAAAGGTTATCAAGCTGCCTTTTGCTCCATCAGACTGTTAGTCTACCAAGCCCAGCACTTGTCCACATTGACTGGTGGCAGCTCTTAAAGGTCTCGGGCGGGGATCACTCTCAGCCCCATTGCAACCTGAGATCCTTTTAAACCAGAGACACCAGGGATCGAACCTGGAACTTTCTGCATGCATAGCATGTTCTCTCCCACTGAACAACTGCCCTTTACAAAAACACACACAACAACAACAACCTGCCCTTGCTTCCACTTGATTAAGTTCATTGTGCTTATGCGGTGTTGAGTAAGGCTGAGAAGAGGAAATGGATATTCCTTTTTTTTTAAAGAAAAAGAAAAACAAACTATGCAGTGGGAGTCAGTCCAGGCCAAGAGAGAGAGAGACCCCAGACAATATCTGAAGTGCTTTCCTCTTGTTTAACTGGGGCACAGAGCAAGAGATCTGTAAGCACGTCACTGTTGGCAAGTAATCTCCTCTGCTTCATTGAAGCATTTCTCTACACAGGGGAGATAATGTCAGAAGAATAGCTACATCCAAGGAAGACAAATGAAGGGATACAAAGGGGAAAAACAAAAACCAACCACAAACCAGTGGCTTTCGCTATTGGGAACACGTCTACGAGACACATGAGACACACGTCAACCTAAGATGATCAGGATAGGAACCTTCCTCTCTTGCCCTTTGGAGTGGAGGGGCACAGTTTGGAGCAACACCGCTCCTGTGGTTCCTCAATCTTGTCAATGTTTCAAAGCAAGGCCAGCTGAGGGCCAGCTATTTGTGCAATATATTATTGGGCATTTGCTAGCCGTTTCAGTTCTTAGCTAGGTTAATATGCTATTGCACCCTCTTTGCAAAGCAAATATTTATGCAAATATGCAACTAGCTTATGCAAAAAAAAGAAAAAAGGAGGGAAAGGAACACCCACAGAGTGTAAAAGAAACCGGGGTGAGCTGTCATCTGGTTGGCAACCAAGACAGGAAGTGGACACAGTCTTCCTTCCATGATACCACATGGGCAGTATAAATGCAATGGAGATTCCTTCTCTCAACTCCCTGCCTGCCTATTGTGGGGTCATGATTGGGGCTGAGTGTGATTGCAACCTAAGGGTAAATTGGGGCCTGCATGCATGCGGTTAAAATAAGACCAGTGGCTGGGGTTGCCAACTGTTCAGCCAGCCACTCTGCTCCATGCACTGCAACGAGAACGACAAGTGACAGAAGGCTTATCTTCCATGCTGCGGATAACCTCATCTGCCGATTTCTGCTGCAGACCAAACTTGCTATTGGGGCAGACCACTGGGCGATTTTTTTTTGCTGGATCAGTTGGCAACCCCAGTTCAAATGTAACCTGGATATGCTTGCTGCATGCAGCCCATCCAGCAATCGTCCAAGTAGAACGTGCGGCTCAGCCACCCCCAGAAGGTATCGGATGAAAGAACAAAAACTTTACCTAGCTTTGATTGCTTGATATTTTCCCCCTTCTGAGCTGTTCTTCCCATGGTATTTCTCGCGTGCTTTAGTCTCATTTAGGCTGAAAGAGGAAGACCAATAACGCAGACACTTCACGTATTTGTGCTGGCAAATTCATCGAATCCCAAGCTGCCATTTAGATGCTTTGTACCTGAAATTCCCTCGTGCCGTTTCCATTGGGTAAAGTGTTCTTCCTCGCTTGCTGTCCTTAAAAAGAAAAAAAAAAGAAAAAAACCTAGCATGTAGCATTGCTCTGAGTTGTCAGACAGTTTGCTGCACTTCGCTGCGGGAGCGTTGACACTCCTGCAGCGTTTGCAAAGCGACTGCTGCACGTGTTTCATGTACCAGCCCGTCGCTCAGAGGCTTGTAAAGCACTTTGGGATCCATCGAGATGGAAGGAGCTTCCTTTATATGTATACTCGTTACCCCTAATGCCGAGAAAATGCTGGTCGTAGCTGTAGCAAGCATGGCAAAGCATGAGTCATGCAAAACGTGGCAGATGCCTTGGTCCACTGGTGGTCTCAGCTAAAGCTGCTGTTGTAAACTAGCATGTTGTCTATGGTGTGAGGGGGAACAACAAACAAGAAACAGGAGGGGACATCTGATCTGTCCCGGATTTCCAGGACTGCAATGCAAAAGGATGCGTCCAGATTTTGTGACAACAGGCTCACAGCCAGCATGAGCACGTGCAAATAAGCAAACAAGCCCAGATGATTCTGCAAAGTTGCATGCACACCGACAACTTTACTACCATAATGTGTCTTATTGG